ATTGTGCTGGACCAATTGGATATTCACAGGCAAAAGAAGAAAGGTGGACCCCGACCTCACACCATATGCAAAAATTAACTCAGAATGAATCAAAGACCTAACGGTAAGAGTTCGAACCATACAACATCTAGGAGGAAAACAAAGGAATAAATCCTCATGACCTTGAATTAGGCAAAGGATTCTTAGATATGACACCAAAAACATAAGCAACAACAACAATAATCATAAAAGATACATTGGACATTATCAAAATTAAAACTTCGGTACTTCTCAGGACACCATCAACAAAATGAAAAGAAAACCTACAAAATGGGAGAAAATACTTGTAAATCATGTATCTGGTAAGAGACCTATCTAGAACACATAAAGAACTCTTATAACTCAATAATAAAAAGACAGATAACCCGATTTTAAAATAAGCAAGAGATATGAATAGACTTTTCTCCAAAGAAGATAGACAAACGGCCAGTAAGCACATGAAAAGACTCTAACCATCACCAGCCATCTGGTAAACGCGAATCTAAACCACAGTGAGATACCACTTCACACTCACTAGGAAGGCTCTAATCAAAAAGATAATAACACGTGTTGGCAAGGATGGGCACAAGTTGGAACCCTCAGGCGCTGTTGGTGGAAATGTAAAATGGTGCAGCCACTGTGGAAAACAGCCTGGTGGTATCTCAAAAGGTTAAACACGGGGTTACCATATGACTCAACAGTTCCACTCCGAGGTATACACCCAAGAGAAATGCAAACATATATCCAGCCAAAAGCTTGTACAAGAATGTTCATAGCAGCATTACTCATAATAGCCAAAACTAGAAACAACCCAAATGCTCATCAATGAATGAACGGTTGGGGGGTATGTCCATACGATGGAACAGTATTCAGCCGTAAAAAAGTGAAGCCCTGACACATGCTACAACATTGGCGAACCTTGAAAATGTATGCTAAGAAGCCAATCAAAAAAAGACCACACACTGGATGATTCAGTTCAGATGAAATGCCCAGAGTAGGCAAATCCATAGAGACAGAAAGGACATTAGTGGTTGCCAGGGGTTGGGGACAATAGAGAAGTGATGGCTAAGAATGAGGTTTCTTTTTCAGATGATGAAAATGTTCTAAAATTGATTGTGATTATAACTGCACAACTCAGTGATTATAATAAAAGCCATTGAATTTTATACTTTAATATATTAATGTTTTAAATGGGTGAATTGCATGGTATGTAAATTATATCTCAATAAAGCTGTTTTAAAAAAGAAAAACAGGCAAAACAAAATTTAAAAAATTAAGTGTGGGGGCCAGCCTGTGGCTCACTCGGGAGAGTGCGGTGCTGATAACACCAAGGCCACGGGTTCGGATCCCATATAGGGATGGCCGGTTCGCTCACTGGCTGAGCGTGGTGCTGACAACACCAAGTCAAGGGCTAAGATCCCCTTACCAGTCATCTTTAAAAAAAAAATTAAATTAAATTAAAAATTAAAAATTAAGTGTGCTGGCCAGTTAGCTCAGTTAGTTAGAGCACCGCCTTGTAACACCGAGGTCAAGGGTTCAGATGCCAGCACCAGCCAGCTGCTGAAAAAAGAATAACAAAAAAAAAAATTAAATGAACTAAAATATTTAGTTCTTCATTTGCCCCAGCTGCATTTCAAGGGCTCAATTGGAAAGTGCAGAGAACATTTCCATCATCACAGTAAATGCTATTGGTCATCACTGCTCTAGAGCTTCGGTTCTCAGCCAGGAGCGATTTACCCCCGGCGGCATTTTGCAATGTCTGGAGACATTTTTGGTGGTCCCAACTGGATGGTGGGGTGCTACTGGCATCTAGTGGGTTGAGGCCAGGGATCCTGCTCAACAGCTTTCAGTGCATAGGACAGATCCCCACAACCAAGAATGATCCGACCCCACATGTCAGGTTGTGGTGAATCCACACAGGTTGGGTTCTGCAAGCAAGCGACCTCCAGAAAGTTCCCATCACATGTAGATTTGGCCCATTTGCAAATGTGTTACAACAACTGTCCAGCAGGTGTCAGTAGAGTGAGTGCTTCTAACGAGGCAGAAGGAAATGCAGGGCCTTGGGGAGGGACCTTATTCTAAATCCCTGAGGCACCCTATGGGCTACCAGCTGCCCTGCATGAGTGAAAGTCCACACTGAAGCCTGGTTATGTGTGCGTGGGCTTCTGTAACTGGTTTCAACATGGGCGTGCGTTTACACCAACACAACAGTCAGGACCCAGGTGACACCCTCCCAGCTCCCACCCACCACTTCCTGTCAGCCTACCGAGCTCATCCACAGCATTGACATCGGCATGGCTGGCGATGAGCTCCTCCACCATGCCCTCCACTGCCAGGCGGGCCGCCAGGATCAGTGCCGTCGAGCCATCAGCCATGCGAGCATCCAAGTCCGTGGAGCGGTTCCGGATGAGAATCTAGGAGAGAGGGGACACAGCAGGGGGAGTCATGGCAAGTATCCATGGGACCAGGGGCACCCCTAAAGTCCCCAAACGCCACACCCCTGAAACTGATGAAGTTCAGGAAGCAGCTACTCCCCAGACACCATACTCCATATATCCCCATTTTCCAAATGAGAAAAACGAGCTCTAAAAGGCAGATCGGGGCTCAAATGCAGGAGTGTCTGATGCCCGCCCCATCTCTGAAGTCCAAGGGGACAGACAGCCCTGTGTCACCTGGAAGACGCCCTGGGCATCAGCAGTGACAGCCGTGTGCAGGGGGGTGCGGCCTGAGTGGTCCTGGGCATTGGTGTCTGCCCCAGCATCCAGCAGCCGCTTGGCCGCATCAGCCCGGGCATAGCGGGCAGCCAGGTGCAGGGCGGTCTCGCCCGTGCGGTCAGTCCGTGCCCCGAGCTGGGCCCCCTGGCAGATTAGGTCCGAGATGATGCTGGCTGATGCGTCATCTGTCTCGTCCTCCTCAGTCGGCATTGGCTCCAGGGCCCCCCCACAGAAGGAGGCCAGCATTAGGGGGGTGAAGCCATCTGCGGGGATGAGGGTATGTCACAAGGGAGGTGGGCACAGATTCCTATCCAGGGAATGCTACTGAGCGCACCATATCAGAAGCAAGTGGACACAGCGAGAGCGAGAAGGAGTGGCCAGTCCTCCCATCTGCACGCCCACACCCAGGATGAGAATTTGTGGGCATGCGATTTATCACAGAGGATCCGGACATCATGATCCGCTACACTCTGCATGGGTATTTGCCCTGATTTTTCCCTAGGGAGCCATTTACATCCCATTGTCCATCCTCAAGCCCTGGGTAAAGCCCAACCCTGTCCCTGGCTGGGGACAGGCATGTGGACCAGGCCTAGTCAATTTGCATATTCCAGTCCCCTGGCCACACTGATTGGCTCAAGAATGTGTATATGACCCTAACCAGTCCAATCAGAACACATCCTGGGACTTTTGCTGGAGCAGCTAGAAAGGTTTTGTCATCCTGGAGTGGAGAATGGAAGACTGAGTCCTAGATCCAAATGTGCCCACTACTGTCAGTTTCCTGACCCAGTAGGTCTTTTGTTTGACTTAAGATAGTTTGAGTTGGGTTTTTGTCACTTACAATCAAGAGTCCTGATGGACACACAACCCTACAGAAGCCAAGACACCTACCAGTTCTCCCCAGAACACAGACCCAGAGGTAACCTCTCACAAGCAGGAGGGGTGAGGGGTATCTTACAGGGAGGGGCACCCATCACTGACCTGGACCACGCACGTTGACATCCATGCCATCAGTATCTGCATCACCCTGTGGGGGTGTCAGTGCCATGGCTGGTGCCACTCGGATGTCAGCAGCAACCAGGTGGTGTTGAGTCCACTGGCGGCAATCCACAGCCTCCTCGGCCCCCATGCCAGGCTCTTCTACCTGAAGGGACAAGGACCAGGTTCTCAGACCTCACACTTTGGAGGTGGCGTGAGGCACTACCAGGGACAGGACGGGGCATTCCCACAGGCTTCTCTCACGGAGACGCACACTGGGCCCTGGGAAACCATTCACATCCTGCTTCTTTTAAAGATAGGGAAGTAAAAAAAATAAAATAAAATAAAATAAACAAAAATAAATAAAATAAAGATAGGGAAATAGGAAATCAACCATCCAGAGCTCAGGGAGTTAATGAGAGGAAGAAATGTGATTCAATCTGGGTTGGAAAGAGGGAGAGGCTGGGAACCCAAAGTGGGGAATCCATGAAGAGGCACAGAGTGTAGCACCCGTCAGCACACACACTTGAAAACTGAATTAAGAGAACAATTCCATTGATAGTAACATCGAGAATAAAATATTCAGAATTAAATTTAAGGGCCGAGCCCGTGGTGCACTTGGGAGAGTGCGGCGCTGCCCTTCCGCCGCAGGTTCGGATCCTATATAGGGACGACCAGTGCGCTCACAGTGCTCACTGGCTGAGCGCAGTGCGGCCGGTCTCAAAAAGGACAAAAAAAAAAAAAATTTAACAAAAGAAATGCAAAACTTGTACTCTAGAAACTACAAATCACTGGTAAGAGAAATGCATAGGTGGAAGGGGGGGTCCTTCAAGGATCAGTATTAATCTGGGAAAGGGGAGAATGGGTGGGAGGGAAGTAGGGAAAGGGAGAGAGCACGGGATCCTACAATTAAGAAGTAACATGGAGGCTGGCAGGTTAGCTCAGTTGGTTAGAGTGTGATATTATAACACCAGGGTCAAGGGTTCGGATCCCTGTACAGTCCAGGTGCAAAAACAAAAACGTCACATGGAGCTCCCACAAGGCACCCAAACATAACTGGGATCAAATACTCACACATAAATCTATTTACCTTTACAAGCCTAGCACCTGGGCCCACCCCTAGCAGGAGCTTGATCAGGCTCAGACTTGTGGTCCAAAAGGCATGAGTGATGTATGGAAACCAGACAGAATATGCTTAACTAGCCTGCCTGGGGTTTTCAGAGCCTTAGGATCCCAAACACAGAGCCTGATCTAGCCAGACTTGAATTTAAGGATGTAGGCAGGAAATTTGAAAGGAGAGAGCCAGGTGAGGGACAGCCAAACAGAAAGGGTGTGAGAGGATGGGACAGTATTCAATATGTGTTCGAGTTCTGACCCTGCTAAGGTAACTATGTGACCCTAGAAAAATCACATTAGAGCTCTGAGCTTCTCATTGGCAGGATCAGGATGACGCTGCCACTCACAATGCTAAGATGTGTGTAAAGCACACCGGGATGTCTCTTTAATACCTACTTTGGGATAAGAAAGAAAAAAAAGTCTGGGGCAAGCGGATTTCTTTAGCTGTCAATTTTAATAGATGTCCCCACTTCACAAACATTAAAATACAGGCAGGGGAGAGGTGTTCGAAAATCGAGGTATATGTTAATAGCTCCTATATAGGATCCTCAAAAAGATGAAATAATAGGGTTTGTGTGCACAGAGACATTCAGCATGTGTCCAGGTAATGCTAGTAGGAGTCTGTTACGGACTGAATTGTGCCCCCTCGAAAATCATATGCTGAAACCCTAACTTCCCATGTCACTGTATTTGAAGGTAGAATATTTAATAAGGTAATTAAGGTCAAATGAGGTCAGAAGGTTGGCGCCCTAATCCAATGGGAGGGTGTCCTTATAAGAAGAGGAAGAGAGGGCCGGCCCGGTGGCGCACTGGATAGTGCGCTGCTTGGGAAGTGCAGCGGCACTCCCGCCCGAGGGTTCGGATCCCACATACAGACCGGTTCCCTGGGGCAAGCGGATTTCTTTAGCTGTCAATTTTAATAGATGTCCCCACTTCACAAACATTAAAGTACGGGCAGGGGAGAGGTGCTCAAAAATCGAGGTATATGTTAATAGCTACCATATAGGATCCTCAAAAAGATGAAATAATAGGGTTTGTGTGCACAGAGACATTCAGCATGTGTCCAGGTGATGCTAGTAGGAGTCTGTTACGGACTGAATTGTGCCCCCTCGAAAATCATATGCTGAAACCCTAACTTCCCATGTCACTGTATTTGAAGGTACAGTATTTAATGAGGTAATTAAGGTTAAATGAGGTCAGAAGGTTGGCGCCTTAATCCAATGGGAGGGTGTCCTTATAAGAAGAGGAAGAGACACCAGAGATTCCTCTCTCTGCATGCACACAGGGGAAAAGCCACGTGAGGACACAATGAGAAGGTGACTGTCTGCAAGCCAGGAAGAGAGCCCTCACGAGGAACCAACCCTGACACCACCTTGATCTTGGACTTCTAGCCTCCAGAGCTGTGAGAAAATAAGTTTCTGTGGTTTACACTACCCCGTCTGTGGGATTTTGTTATGGCAGCTGGAGCAGACTAATACAGAGCCCACGGAGGTGGCCCCAGGAGAGGAAACGGTGCTCAGGACCATCTGGAGCACGTTCAGGTTGATCAAGTCAGAAGCAACAGAGAGAAAGCAGAGTCGCTGTCTGGGCCAAGGGGGTCTCCTCCAGGAAGACCCCAAGCTGGCCTGGGGGCAGAGGCCTGGTTAGGGAGGGGCAAGACGGTGGGGGGAGAACTTCATCCTGCACGGAGAGACCCTGTGGGTCCTGATGACAAATCTCCTTCCTCCCTTCAAGGCCAGAGACATGCCGAGAAGAAAATGGGGTCACAAAGCTGGGGAGGTGGGGAGAGCCGAGACTTCCCCTGGACTCTCCCACTAACCACTGGGCCCCCACCCAGGACTCTGAGGGCAGGGGTCAGAGGAGGGGGCAGCACCTTCAGTCGCTTGGCCTCTGGGCACTCCGTGTCCATCCAGTCTGTGGCCACCTCCCCCATCAGACTCTCACCCTTGGCAATGTTCCTATGGGGACAACAGGAAGGGAGGATGTGAGAGGGGACACTGGAGGTATCTGGCCTGGGAGGAGGATTTGGGGTGGGGTCAGAAGAGAGGTCATAGAGGTGAGGTCAGGGGTCTGGAGTTGGGATCAGGGATCTCAGGTCAGTAGGTGCAGGGGACAGAGTGATGACACAGGGTCCAATGAGGGGTTGCAGGATGGGGTCAAGGTCTCGGGGTATAGTCAGGGATTATGACAGGTGAAGGTCAGGGTATTAAGGTGGAATCAGAGAAGGGACACGAATGGGGTCAGGGGTCAAAGCAGTAGGTTATAGGATAGGTGAGGGTCACAGGCATGCAGGAGGGGTTACAGAGATGATTTCAGAGGTCAAGGAGGATGGAGTTAGCCTTATAATGAGTGGAAAAGGTAGCCAAGATTGAAAAGACTGTGGTTAGGGTTCAGGGATCAGGGGTTCACAGAGGAGGGTTAAATTCAGGATGGGAGTCTTGAGGGACAGGTCAAGTTGGAGGTGAGTCCAGGGTCAAGGCTGGGATTGAGGATCATGGGGAATAAAAACTGAGGAGTGGAAAAAGGATCAGAGTTGAGGTCAAAGGTGAGAAGGGTTGGAGCCAAAGGTGGTATTGGGGGTCAAAGAGGATAGGGTCAGGGGTCAGGGTGGGGTCAGGGTAGGATTTGGGTCAGGGGAACTGGGACACAGGAAATAAGATCAGGGGTCAGCAGTCAGTGGTCAAGGGGATCCAGGATGGAATCTGAAGTTAAGGTCAGGTTGGGGTCAGAGGTCAGACTCAAGTCAAGGTGGGGTCCAGGGTTCACAAGGCCCCCATAGTCGGGGACAGGGTACGGGCAGGGTCCTCACTTCATGCCGAGCGCGTCTTGGCCCACAGGCTCCCGCCGACCCTTATGGCCAGAGGCCATGTCCTTGTGCAGCGCGAAGCCCTCCGGGAACCACAGGGTGCTGTGCTCACGCTTCCGCCGGGCCACCATGACACCCAGGACGAGGATGACCAACAGGAAGACAGCGCCCGCCACCAGCAGTGGCAGCAGCGGCAGGCTGGGCTCTGGTGGCTCCAGCGGCTCCCCTGGGGGGAGGAAGCAGGGGCGGGGCTTCAGCCATGGCTTCGACCACGGGGCGGGGCTTCGATGTGGGGCGGGGCTACAGCCATAGGGCTTCTACTGCTGGTGACTCCAAACCACCCACCGCTGGGGGCACCCCAAGCTGGGCCCTCGTCACCCTCGCCCAGGCCGCACCGCGCACGTCCCGCAGTGGGTACGGGAAGTCCAGGCGCTCCACTGCTGACAATGCTCCCAGATAGTCAGCCGCGCTCTGGGCATCCGGGAAACAGTGGTCATTCTCAGGCGACTGCAGGCAGAGCCGATTGTCAATCTCCAGCATCACTACAGAGCTGTGGGGACAGAAGCGAGGGACTCGAGGGCTGGACGGGTGCCTGACACCCCCCACCCCCGCACCAAGCCCCATCCTTCCTCCCTACAGCCAGGCTCAGAAGAGCCATCTCCACCCACCATGTCTCCAAGACCCACCTGCTCCCAACCCCACTGCACCCACAAAGCAGGCCTTGCACTGGCCACCAGTGTCCCCTGAGCCATGAATCCAATAGACATTGTTTTCATGTCAACATCTCAGTAATCCTAGTGGATAATGCTGGTGCAGCCCTTTACCAGGCTGGTGCCGCCCGTCTCCCAGCCGCTATGAGTGTTGGCTGACAGATGCCCCTTCTCCACAGAACGGTCCTCAGAAAAATGGGGACGGCCTCACTTAGGAAGTGACACCCCCTAGGACATCCCACAGCCAGCGACTGTCTGATATGGGAGGTATACAAGGTGGGACTAACTCTGAGGTGTTATTCACACTCCAGGGCTCCCCATGGGATGAGAATGAGCCAGACTTCAGCTGAGGCTGACCCCTGCCCACCTTAGTCACTCCCCTGCCCACTCTGTTCCCACATCTTTTTCTCCTGACAGCACCCCCTCAAGACATCACACGGATCTGGGTCCCCATCTCAGACCCTGCTTCCAAGAACCCAGTCTAAGACCCTCACTTTTTCCAAACTCCCTCCCTCACTGGGATCCCAGCACCACATGCCCCAGGTCTCCTCCTGTCTCTCTGGCTGCTCCTTCTCCTCTTTTCTGGGCTGATTTCCCTCAACCAGGCCTTAGGTCTCAGTGTCCCCAGGCTCAATTCACTCCTCACCTCTTCAAGTCTGTCCCATGTCCTCAATGATTGCCAACACCCTTCGTCTCTCTTATTCCTGTCTTCAGCCCCCAGCTACCCCCTGGGGGTCTCCTGGATGCCCCCAGGCCCCTCAGACTCTGCAAGCCCCAAAGTAACCCATGCTTCAACTTGTGTCCTCGCCACTCGGTCACCTAAGCTAAGGACTGGAACATCAGCCCCCTTTCTCTCTGTGTCAGGACCCCACTCTTGTCAGGCCTCCACTTTCTCAGCAATGGCAGCTCCTCCCTCTGGTCCCTCTACTAGGCCACCAGGAGGACAGCTCTACATTTTCCATTAAATAACAAAACAAAAAACCTACACATGCCTTTAACTGCTCTGCTAAACCACGTGCCTCTCCAGAAGGAGATAGCACTAGACCTGGGGGGGCAATTCCACCCCCAAGGGACACTTGCTCATATCTGGAGGCTTTTTCTCTTGGGTTTTTTTGTTTGTTTGTTTTTTTGGGTTTCTTTTGCAACTGGTGGGTACAGGGATCCAAACCCCTGACCCTGGTGTTAAAAGGCAGCATTCTAACCAAAGGAGGCATTTTTGTTTTTTCCTTTTTGTCTTTTTTTGTGTCTGGCAACGGATCACAACCCTCAGTGTCGCGCCCGTACCGGACCGGGACCGGCAACGGGATCGCAACCCTCGGTGTTGCTCCCACACCTCGCTCAGCCAGTGAGCGGAACCGGTCTGTATGTGGGATCCGAACCCTCGGCGGGAGTGCCACCACGCTCTCAAGCGGCGCACTGTAGCAGTGCGCCACCGGGCCGGCCCCAAAGGAGGCGTTTTTGATTAAGACAAATAGAAGGCCGGGTGCTACTGGCATTGAGTGGGTGGAGGCCAGGGATGTTGCTAAGCAACCTACCGAGCACAGGACAGCCCCCCATGGCAAAGAATGATCCAGCCCCAAATGTCAACAGCTGATGTTGAAAAGCCTCGGGGAGACTGTTGCCAGGGAAGGCTCCCCAAGACTAAGTGAAGCGAAACCCACAAGACCGACCTGGAGACCCTGCCCAGAGCCTCCTGCTGCCCCCGAGTGTCCCCCGAGGTGCACTCACTCACCCGGATCACCTCAGGGGCCAGCTCCCGCCGAGCCCGGGGTTCGGAGCCAGGACTGGGCCGGTGGTACGGGAAGACCATGGCCTGGCCGTGCGCGTCCAGGCGGAAGCGCAGCGACGTGCGCAGGATGGCGCTGAGCCGCTGCAGGAAGTCGGCGCTGGAGCGCAGCAGCTCCTCGGGCGGCAGCAGCACCGTGAGCACCAGCACCCCGCGGGCCAGCAGGGCTGGCACCTCGCCGGCACAGTCCAGCCCGTCCCAGCCACACTCTTCCATGTTGCAGCCCTGGTCGCAGCGGCCGTCGGCGAAGTGGTCAGCGCAGTACTTCTCGTACATGGGGCTGGGGGCAGAGGGCAGGGTCAGGCGGCCCCCTACCCCGGCCCCATGCACACACACCACAGAGCAAGCACCAAGACTCCGGACAGCGCTCGCACAGGGAACTGGAATGTACTGGCACATGTCAGGTTTTCTGCAAATCCAGCCATTTTCCAGATAACTATGAATAAATCCATAACTATTAGCTGACCGCCTGCTATGAGGCTCACACAGAGAGGGACAGAAGAGGGGCAGGGGCATGGACAGACATATAGAGGGGTAAAGGGGGCAGATAGATAAACAGACAGATAGACAGATGGGGCACACAGGTGAGCAGACTGGCATGGGGCAGACAATGGACGGACACATGAGATCCAAGGATGGACAAGCAGCGGAGCAGACAGATAGTTGGGTGCATAGAGGAAAGAAAGGAATTCATGGATGGACAGAAAGACCCACAAACAGGGCTTCAGGAGGGACAAATGGAGTGTATTGGGGGACAGAAAAACAGACAGGTGGGGCACGTGGATGAACAGACAGGCGGGGCACTCACTAAAGGGCAGACAGGACACATGGGTGG